ATCTAGGGTTTTTATGGTTTTAGGTCTTACATTTAAATCTTTAATCCATCTTGAGTTAATTTTTGTGTAAGGTGTAAGGAAGGGGTCCAGTTTCAGTTCTCTGCATATGGCTAGACAATTTTCCCAACATAATTTATTAAATAGGGAATCCTTTCCCCATTGCTTGTTTTTGTCAGGTTTGTCAAAGATCAGATGGTTGTAGATGTGTGGTGTTATTTCTGAGGCCTCTGTTCTGTTCCATTGGTGTATACATTTGTTTTGATACCAGTACCACGCTGTTTTGGCTATTGTAGCCTTGCAGTATAGTTTGAAGTCACGTAGCAGGATGCCTCCAGGTTTGTTCTTTTTGCTTAGGATTGTCTTGGCAATATGGGCTCTGTTTTGGTTCCATATGAAATTTAAAGTAGTTTTTTCTAATTCTGTGAAGAAAGTCAATGGTAGCTTGATGTTAATAGCATTGAATCTATAAATTACTTCGGGCATGATGGCCATTTTCACAATATTGATTCTTCCTATCCATGAGCATTTTTCATTTGTTTGTGTCTTCTCTGATTTACTTGAGCAGTGGTTTGTATTTCTCCTTCAAGAGGTCCTTCACATCCCTTGTAAGTTGTATTCCTAGGTATTTTATTCTGTTTGTAGCAATTGTGAATGGGTGTTTGCTCATAAGTTGGTTCTTTGTTTGTCTATTATTGGTGTATAAGAATGCTTGTGATTTTTACACATTGATTTTGTACCCTGAGACTGCTGAAGTTGCTTATCAGCTTAAGGAGTTTTTGAGCTGAGACGATGGTGTTTTCTAAATATACAATCATGTCATCTGCAAACAGAAACAATTTGACTTCCTCTCTTCCTATTTGAATACGCTTTATTTCTTCCTCTTGCCTGATTGCCCTGGCCAGGAATTCCAATACTATGTTTAATAGGAGTGGTGAGAGATGGCATCCTTATCTTGTGCTGGTTTTCAAAGGGATTGCTTCCAGCTTTTGCCTATTGATATTCCATCAATAACTAGTTTATTGGAGTTTTTAGCATGAAGGGTGTTCAATTTTATTGAAGGTCTTTTCTGCATCTATTGAGATAATCAAGTGGTTTTTGTCCTAGGTTCTGTTTATGTGATGGATTACATTCATTGATTTGCATATATTGAACCAGCCTTGCATCCCAGGGATGAAGCTGACTTGATCGTTGTGGATAAGCTTTTTGTTATGCTGCTGGATTTGGTTTTCCAATATTTTATTGAAGATTTTTGCATGGATGTTCATCAGGGATATTTTCTTTTTGTTGTGTCTTTGCCAGGTTTTGGTATCAGGATGATGCAGGCCTCATAAAATGAGTTAGGGAGGAGTCCTTCTTTTTATATTTTTTGGAATAGTTTCAGAAGGAATGGCACCAGGACCTCTTTGCACCTCGGGTAGAATTTGGCTGTAAATCTGTCTCGTCCTGGGTTTTTTTTTATTGGTAGGCTATCAATGGCTTTCTCAATTTCAGAACCCGTTATTGGTCTATTCAGGTATTCGACCTCTTCCTGGTTTATTCTTGGGAGGTTGTATGTGTCCAGAAATTTATCAATTTCTTCTAGGTTTTCTAGTTTATTTGCATAGACGTGTTTAGAGTATTCTTTGCTGGTAGATTGTATTTCTGTGGGATCAGTGGTGATCTCTCCTTTATCATTTTTTACTGTGTCTATTTGATTCTTCTCTCTTTTCTTCCTTACTAATCTGGCTAGCGATCTATATGTTTTGTTAATCTTTTCAAAAAAACAGCTCCTGGATTCAATGATTTTTTGAAGGGTTTTTGTGTCTCTATCTCATTCCATTCTGCTCTGATCTCAGTTATTTCTTGTCTTCTGCTAACTTTTGAATTTGTGTGCTCTTGCTTCTTTAGTTATTTTAATTGTGATGCTAGGGTGTCATTTTTAGATATTTCCCACTTTCTCTTGTGGGCAGTTAGTGCTATAAATTTCCCTGTGAAAACTGCTTTAGCTGTGTCCCAGAGATTCTGGTATGTTATGTCTTTGTTTTCATTGGTTGCGAAGAACTTACTTTTTTACTGCCTTAATTTCATTATTTACCCAGTAGTCATTCAGGAGTAGGTTGTTCAGTTTCCATGTAGTTATGGGGTTTTGAGTGAGTTTCTCAATCCTAAGTTCTAATTTGATTGCACTGTGGTCTGAGAGATTATTTGTTATGATTTCTGTTCTTTTACATTTGCTGAGGAGTGTTTACTTCCAATTATGTGGTCAATTTTAGAATAAGTGCTATGTGGTACTGAGAAGAATACATTTTCTGTTGATTTGGAGTGGAGAGTTCTGTAGGTGTTTATTAGTTCTGCTTAGTCGAGCTGAGTTCAAGTCCTTGAATATCCTTGTTAATTTTCTGTCTCATTGATCTGTCTAATATTGACAGTGGGGTGTTAAAGTCTCCCACTATTATTGTGTTGAAGGCTAAGTCTATTTGTAGGTCTCTAAGAACTTGCTTTATGAATCTGGGTGCTCCTGTATTGGGTGCATATATATTTAGAACAGTCAGCACTTCTTGTTGCATTGATCTCTTTACCATTGTGTAATGCCTTTCTTTGTCTTTTGTGATCTTTGTTGGTTTAAAGTCTGTTTTATCAGAGAGTAGGATTGCAACCCCTGTTTTTTTTTGTTTTGTTTTGTTTTTTTTGGCTTTCCATTTGCTTTGTAACTATTCCTGCATCCCTTTATTTTTAGCCTATATATGTCTTCACACATGAGACAGGTCTCCTGAATGCAGCACACTGATGGGTCTTGACTGTTTAATCCAATTTGCCAGTCTGTGCCTTTTAATTGAGGCATTTAGCCCATTCACATTTAAGTTTATTATTGTTATGTGTGAATTAGATCCTGTCATTATGGTGTTCACTGATTATTTTGCCCGTTAGTTGATGCAGTTTCTTCATAATGTCAATGGTCTTTACAATTTGGCATGTTTTTGCAGTGGCTGGTACTGGTTTTTCCTTTCCATATTTAGGGCTTCCTTCAGGATCTCTTATAAGGCAGGCTTCATGGTGACAAAACCCCTCAGCATTTGCCTCTCTGTAAAGGATCTTATTTCTCCTCCACTTATAAAGCTTAGTTTAGCTGGGTATAAAATTCTGGGTTGAAAATTCTTTTAAGAATGTTGAATATTGGCCCCCACTTCTTCTGGCTAGTAAGGTTTCTTCAGAGAGATTGCTGCTAACGTCTGATTAACTTCCCTTTGTTGGTAGCCTGACCTTTCTTACTGGCTGCCCTTAACATTTTTTCCTTCATTTCAACCTTGGTGAATCTGATGATTATGTGTCTTGGGGCTGTTCTTCTCAAGGAGCATCTTTTGGTGTTCTCTTTATTTCCTGAATTTGAATGTTGACCTGTATTGCTAGGTTGGGGAAGTTCTCCTGTGTAATTTCCTGAAGAGTGGTTTCCAACTTAGTTCCATTCTCCTCATCACTTTCAGGTACACCAGTCAAACGTAGGTTTGGTCTTTTCACATAGTCCCATATTTCTTGGAGGCTTTGTTCATTCCTTTTCATTCTTTTTTCTCTAATCTTGTCTTCGTGCTTGATTTCGTTATGTTGATCTTCAATTTCTGATGTTCTTTTTCCACTTGATTGATTTGGCTATTGATACTTCTGCATGCTGCACAAAGTTCTCCTGCTGTGTTTTTCAGCTCCATCGGGTCATTCATGTTCTTCTGTAAACTGTTATTCTACTTAACAATTCCTCTAACCTTTTATCAAGGTTCTTAGCTACATTGCATTTGGTTAGAACATACTACTTTAGCTCAGAGGAGTTTATTACCCACCTTCTAAAGCCTGCTTCTGTCAATTTGTCAAGCTCATTCTCCATCCAGTTTTGTCCCTTGCTGGTGAGGAGTTGCGATCCTTTGCAGGAGAAGAGGCATTCTGGGTTTTGGCATTTTCAGCCTTTTTGCACTGGTTTTTCCTCATCTTCCTTGGATTTATCTACCTTTGGTCTTTGCTGTTGGTGACCTTCAGATGGAGTTTTTGCTTGGTCATTTTTTTTAAGTTGATTCTATTGCTTTCTGTTTGTTAGTTTCCCTTCTAACATTCAGGCCCCTCTTCTGCAGGTCTGCTCGAGTTTGCTGGGGATCCACTCTAGATCCTGTTTGCCTGAGTATCACCAGCAGACACTGCAGAACAGCAAAGATTGCTGCCTGCTCTTTCCTCTGGAAGCTTCATCCCAGAGGGGCACCTGCCAGATGCCAGCCAGAGCTCTCCTGTATGAGGTGTCTGTCGACCCCTGCTGGGAGGTGTCTCCCTGTCAGGAGACTTGGGGGTCAGGGACCCACTTGAGGAGGCAGTCTGTCCCTTAGCAGAGCTCAAGTGCTGTGCTGGAAGATCTGCTTCTCTCTTCATAGCCGGCAGGTAGGAACATTTAAGTCCACTGAAGCTGTGCCCACAGCAGCCTTTCCCGCAGGTCCAAGGGAAATGATGGGAGTTTTATCTATAACCCCCTAACTGGGACTGCTGCCTTTCTTTCAGAGATGCCCTGCCCAGAGAGGAGGAATCTAGAGAGACAGCCTGCCTAATGTGGTTTTGCTGGGCTGCAATGGGCTCTGCCCAGTCCAAAGTTCCTGGGGGTGCGCCTACTCAAGCCTCAGTCATGGCAGATGCCCCTCCCCCCATCAAGCTCCAGTGTCCCAGGTCGACTTCAGACTGTTGTGCTGGCAGCGAGAATTTCAAGTCAGTGGATCTTAGCTTGCTTGGCTCTGTGGGGTTGGGATCCTCTTAACAAGACTACTTGGCTCCCTGGCTTCAGCCCCCTTTCTAGGGGAGTGAGTGGTTCTCTCTCACTTGCGTTCCAGGCACTGCACAATTGGAAATGCAGAAATTACCTGCCTTCTGCGTTGGTCTCCCTGGGAGCTGCAGACTGGGGCTGTTCCTATTCAGTCATCTTGCAGGGAATCACAATAAGTAATTTTTAAAAGGAAGAGAAAAGCAATCATCACTATTTTCGTTTTGTTTTGTTTTAGGAGTAACTGACTGCTGAACAGTACTGCATGTTTCTGAGGTTCCTCTGTTATTCTTGGAGTTCACTATCCCTGCATCCTCCCCAGGACAAGAAGTTCATTTTCCTCATTGTATTGTGTTATGCCAAGAATATTACTATTGTTCAGTGAATATAAAATAATTATTATAGCAACAATTATTTTGGCATCCTAAATAAGGCTGATCCATGGCAATGGTACTGTGCAAAGAAAAGAATAAAGTCAAAACACTTGTAAAACCTTTTACTTATTGATATCAGACATCCGTTATTTTTTAATCCTCACAATGTCTTTTAAAGGTTTTGTTATTTTTATCTACAATCCAGGGAGAAGAAACTGAAGTACAGAGGGGCAAAACAATTGTTTCCTAGTTGAATGACAAATTAGATGAGTATCCAATATCCACAAGTTGTTAGGCCCTGGAAACATATTAATCTCATGTTTTATTAGCTATTCCCACATACATATAAGCGATCTTTCAAATGAAAAGGAAATATAACCAAGAATAAAAATACATATTTTTTTTTGTTTTCAAAGAGCTGTCAATTTCAATTAAAAATCCTTACATGAAATGTCTTAATGTACCTGTTACTCAGTACCAAAAAAAAGTAAAGAAAAATTTAGTAGCCTAAGAATTAGAACAAGAGATAAGATGGTCCTGGGATGGTTCCAGTACCTTTTGTTTATCTACAGGAGATTATCTGCTTTGCGAATATTCGTGACTAATTTTCAATCTTAGAGCTGTATTGCCCCACTGCCTGGTTAGCTTTGAGGCCCTTTCCTCCCACTACCCAGCTGGTGTGTGCTCAAGGAAGACAAACTTTTAATACTAATCCAAGCAAAACACAATTAGGAAAGCAAATGTGTTGGGAAAATAACAATATCATGGATTACAAAGCCAAATAAGAAAGATTTGAATGTCACCTACCCTTTGAAGTATCGAACTATTGTTTCTACGTGATGCTCAGGCAATTGAATTGGGCCAGTCATATCACAAAGAGATCTTCAATCTGTAGGAGTGTCCCCTTCCTTGTTTGTTTTGCTCAGAATAATTGAATTGGAGAGTTTGACTCTGTCAGAGAAGTAGCTACAAGCCTGATTCTTTTGCAATGACCTACAGATAATTCCAGAAAAAAATGGAACCATCTACCAGGAAAAGCTATGCCCATAACTTAAAAATCACATTTCTCTTCCTTGTTAAAATACCCAGACCTAAAGATAACCTTATAACTACATCTGAAAGGCTGTTGAGCCCCCATCCTCACTAGAGTTCATATGTTCCAATGCCTGCACATGTGCAGTCCATCCATCAGGCATGAAGTAAATATAAAATTGACTTTCTTCAGAAAAGAAGGAAGACACAGGTTTGAATTATTTTCTCCATGTTTACATAAACTTTTGAAAGGCAAGATGATTAAATAGCACTTCCCGGATAGGGGCCGGGTGCGGTGGCTCAAGCCTGTAATTCCAGCACTTTGGGAGGCCGAGACAGGCGGATCACGAGGTCAGGAGATCGAGACCATTCTGGCTAACATAGTGAAACCCCGTCTCTACTAAAAAAATACAAAAAACTAGCCAGGCGAGGTGGCGGGTGCCTGTAGTCCCAGCTACTTGGGAGGCTGGGGCAGGAGAATGGTGTAAACCCGGGAGGCAGAGCTTGCAGTGAGCTGAGATCTGGCCACTGCACTCCAGCCTGGGCGACAGAGTGAGACTCCGTCTCAACAACAAAAAAAATTAAAATAAATAAATAAATAAATAGCACTTCCCGGATAGGATAGAGATATATGTTTCTAGCTTCCATAGGTTAGCTAGTATACATAAATATCATTCTTGAAAAGAAATCAAATTCTAACTCATTCATGAATATCATGCCCATTTCCACATTACAGAAAGCTTTCAGCAGAGTTGCATCATCCAAGTGATTCAGCTCCTTACAAATTAATGATTTGCACATACAGGTGTTTGGATAAAATACAAATTTCCATAAGGTTTCCATTATGCAAGAGTACCAATATTAAAAATGCTTTTTAGAAATTAGGAAAACAAACACGTTCATTGCTAAAAATTAAACTCTGAACCCTATTGTAATTGTATTAATCATGAAATTTACCACATTATTTTTGTAAATAAATTGATTCAGATGAATACTTAAAATTTCATCAATAATTTCAGAATATATTTAAATAAGTAATCACTCTTTATATTACAGCTTTTCTTTTGCAAACAAAATATGCACTATCACTTAGTGTTCATATTTAAGTTAATGTTTATTTACAAATTACTAGTGACTGTCACAAGTAGAGTTTTATTAAATGACTCTCGTAATGGAAAGGATTTGAATTAGAGCATGTACTGTACTTCTTTATATAGTTTTTTTCATTTGCAACAACATACCTAGATATTAGCATAATTTATTTTTAAGAAATTGATGTTCTTCTGCAGAATAATAACCATTTTCATTTTGATCTATTGAACTAGATTTATATTTACAAAAAATAATTAAATGTTGATCAGAATGTGGCATCTTCTGAGGTTTTCTAATCTCCAGCTTTACCAGTCCAGGCCATTTCTTTGCCAACCTTACATAAATATACTTAGCTAATGAGTTATGAACCTTTAAGAGCCTTCTCCTTCTGCAGTAAACTCTGGTAAGAATTACTCCAAATGCTTTCTCATCTTTTCATAGGTGTACCTTTTTCTTGTTCTATCTCAATTTTTTGTTATTTATTTATTTTTTATTTATTTATTTATTTGGTTGCTCAAGGAAACTAGCTGGTATTTTTTAAAATTCAAATTAATGATAAAAATTATATCAATATCCCACCAAGTTTATGGAGGTATGGCCACTTTATTTACATTAATTAGAAACCTGCCATTTTAATTGTAATTTTTAACAGGAAAATTTTCTTTCCTGCTAAATGCTCTGCGAAGCTTCATGTCATCTTTAACAGCATTGAAACACAGAATGTAAAAATGGGAAGAACAGAAGATATCAAATTTAACCCTGCTTATTTATGTATGTGTCAACTGAGGCCCAGAGAAGTGAAGAACTATGCATAAAGTCAAACAGCTAATTAGTATTAGACTGGTATGCTATATATATGTAGATTAAAAAATATTTCTAATATTGTTAGCCATTAATGTCATTTGTATATATATAGGCATATGTGCATATAAGAGTTTCATTAACTTTGCCCATCAAAAATGACTATTGTCTCTATGTGATATTGTATCCTGGATGTATCCTGGAACAGAAAGAGCCAGTTAATGGAAAAAGTGGTGAAATTTGAATGCTGTCTGGAGGTTAGTTAATAGTTAAGCATCAAAGTTCATTTCTTAGTTTTGGCAACTATACTATGGTAATGTAAGGTGTTAACATTCGGGAAAACTGGGTTAAAATATACAAGAAGTCTTTGTAATATTTTGCAATTTTTCCGGAAAGCTAAAATTATTTCAAAATAAAAATTATGTTAAAATAGTCACTTCTAATTCTATTTATAGATTATAAATAAGGCCATTTACTTTAGATATCTTAAAAAAGAAAAAGATTCAGATTTTCTTTATGCACAAACTACCCTTTCATTGTAAGCTGCAATTCTGTTATGTGCCTTATAGATAGCATAAGTTGAGTTTCTCAGGCAAAAGACTCAGAACAGAGATCTACCTGCAGGAGGATTACTGGGGAGAGCTCTTGGGAATAACATACACTAGGTAGAAAGAGAAATAGAATTTGCCAAGGGAAGAGTTAAAATGTAGTAAAGGTGTAACAGAGGCCCCAACACATTTGATGGGGATAGCAGTTCAAAAATGTTCCAAACAGAGGCAAAAAGAGGCAAGGCCTTTGTACCCACCATGCCCACAGGTCTTTGGGAGTAGGTTATCCCAGGGAAGGGACAGACTTTGAGCAGGCAGCTCTCTTCAGTCGAGGGCAAATCCTGGGGAGAGACTCATCTGTGAGCTCTCAGCAGCAACTCTCCTGCAGCTGGAGGAGTGAGCACCTTGGTTTTAAAGACAGGATTTATGTATTGTTTCACAGCATCCACTAAAGTGAAGCTAACTCTTGAGCACAATGATTGGTCATAGGATGAATTTAAAATTAGACAAGTGTGGCAATTTCACTAGGTACAGGCAGTCAAAGTTACGTGAGCTTTACTGAAATTTTTCTTATTCCAAGAAGTTTTTCTCTTAAATTTTTCTTCATGCTTGTACCTGTAATTATCTATATATTTCATAACATCTATTCCAAGATGTTAATTATTTGGGTTGAAAAGGAAACAGAAAAGGATTTTTTTTAAGTGTACTCTTTTGGTTATTTAAAGGATGTGGTTTTAGATGTGGGAAATATACACAGGAAGTCCACTGAGTTTGCTTATCTGAATGTATAATAAATTCTTACACCACCCCTACCTTCTACATTTGTCTAAGTGAAATTCATATTCATCTTCAATAAGCACGGCTAAATTATGTTGTAACAAATCAACCCCAAAATCTCAGTACCTTACCACATCCAACCTTTCATGTCTAATAAGGGCTAGCAAGGGTACACAGAGGGCTCTGTTATCTTGCCGTCCTGGTCTGGAAGAGAGAGACTGTAAAACGACTGTAGGAGAGGCAGAGAGAAATGGAGGCAGCACATCTCTGAAACCGGAAGTGACTCTTCTGCTCATAGTCTAGTGCCTAAAACATGTCACATAGTTTCAACCTAACTGAAGCGGAAGCTAGGAAATATAAAGGAATACATGGAAAACCAACAGCCTCTGCCGAAACCGGCTAGTGATCCTTCTGGAATATTCTCATACATAGCTCCAACCCAGCAAAGACAAGACACAATTTATATTTCAATTTTCTTTATTTCCATACTGGCTAGAGTCTTAGCCATCATAGAAGCTTCTCTAAGCAGAAGAATAAGGTCAATCTTTGTGCCATATATATTTTTATATTAGCTATATTGGTTAGTGAAGCAACAACTTGAACATTCAGACTGTTAACATTTTTAAGGACACACATAAAAATGCTTTGGTGAGTTACATAATTATGGGAAGACAGAAATTTCATTTTAAAAATCTTTTGAATCTATTATGGAAATTAGCTTTACAATTATAAAATCCTAGACTTAAAATATCTATGCAAGGATATTTTATGTGCTGATTACTTTATAAAGATCCACAATGCATTAGGGCAAATAGGACATACAAAAATC